GCAGAGCAGCCAAGTTGTTTTTTTTCCTGCTGCCCTCCAAGTACCTAAGCTGGTGCTGGGAGCCACAGCACTTTTTTTTTGGCCTCACTGTGCTCCTAGGCGGAGCAAGGACAGCTACCTTTGAAACTTTTTTTTTCTCAGTATTCTGATTCTGTGGTGTCCCAACAGCCACTTTGAGCTACTTTTTTTTTAGTACAGAAACAGAAAGGTCTTGGGTGGGTGTGGTGGCTCATGCCTGTAATCTCAGCACTTTGAAAAGCCAAGGTGGGAGGATCGCTTTAGCCCAGGAGTTTGAGACTAGCCTGGGCAACATAGTGAGACCCCGTCTCTTAAAAAAAAAAAAAATATTTTTTTTTAGTGGTACATGTCTGTAGTCCCAGCTACCTGGGAGTTTGTCTTGAGCCCAGAAGATCGAAGCTACAGTGAGCGGAGATGGCACCACTGCACTCCAGCCTGAGCAACAGTGAGACCCTGTCTCAGAAAAAAGAAAAAAAAAATAGGCCGTTTATTTCCAGTGGCCCTCCTTGCTGACCCAGATGGTAACAGCACAGTGTATGGGGCCACCTCTCACTTATGCTTTCTTCCCTGTTGCGTACGGATGCCAAGATCCTAACTATTGCTCTTTTTTTTTGAGTAACTAACCTGAATCCCCTGGACAAATCTCTCCTGGTATGATCTTTTTTTTCTTAGAGGCTGGGACATTTCTCAGGGTTTGATATGATTTTTTCACCCTTTTTTTTCCCTGACCAAAGAGAGGTAAGGTTCTGGGAGCCTCTCTCTGCTCTGACATACTTGGTTAGCATGCAGTTCTGGAAGAAGCTGAGACTGGTGCCCTCCTCCTGTTTTTTTTGGGCCGTGGTGTTCTCTCAGCACCCATATTGACGTGTCCTGAGAGACGTTGGAGGGGCCGTTTGTACCTTCTGGCCTGGGGCAGCCAGAAGTCTGGCCAGGCCTCCCGGACTTAGCCGGATGTGAGTGTGTTGGCCTGTCCTGCCAACTGGGAGCTGAGAATAGCGGAATAGGGTCAGGGGGTGATGGGAAAAGCACCAGTTGGCTGCTCTCCTGGGTGGTGGGGCAGTGAACAGAGGAAACATGATGGGGGGAGGTGCTGTAGAAATTTTTTTTTTGGAGAAGAACTTGTATGTATTTTGCTTCTATTTTAGAACTGATGTTTTTTTTTGGCTTTACATGCTGTGTTCCCTGTGCAGGACACAAGGAAGGTGCCGGTTTTTTTTAGTGGCCAGGCCTTGACAAGAGTGGGTGGAGATCCCACCCCTGGTGCCTGGAGCCCCCAGGGATGCGGTGAAGGCCAGCTGCAGACAGCTTTGCTGGAGCAGTTTTTTTTCCTCTGTGTCATAGAACAAGTGCTGTTGGCTCTTATTTAAGGCAAGGGGGCTTTGTGGTGAGCAGTGGAGCAGGGTGGGGGCCTTGGTTTCTCCATCAGGGAGTTTTAGAAGCTCCTGGTGAAAACGACTCCTTCTTTGTTTTGTGTGGTTCCCCCAGGGGATGACGTGGGCTGCATCCCCAGTGTGGAGCCCATTCTTGGGGCAGGGCTTCCTAGGAAAGACAGTGCACACAGGGAGGGCGGTGTGTTCCTTGGCTTCATTCAGGATTTTTTTTTCTGTGTCTACGTGCCTGACACATTTTACAATGTATAGAGAGCAGAGTTTTTTTTCCACAAGCCCCCCTCCTGAGGAGTGAGTTCTGGTTGGGGTGACAGCATTAGGCAGCAGGTCAGGGGTTGGAGTGCCAGTGGGCTTGGAGTCAGGGATGGCTTTTTTTTTTATGTGACACTTGAGTGGAGACCGATGGAGTAAAGGAGGCTTGGGGTGTCTGCAGAGAGTTCGTGGGCAAGGGCAAATGCCAGGGCCCTGAGCACAGCTGAACCTGAGTGACTGGGCACAGGAGGTGAGGTCACAGGAATGTGGGTGTTGCAGGCCCATGGCTGGGACTGTCCAGGTGGGAGTGTGGGGAGGGGTAGGCAGAGGGGCCAGTGCTCTGGGTGTCTTGGGCCTGGTGGTGCTGAAAAGGCCTGAATTTTGGACATCCCTGCAGGTGGAGCAGACAGGATTTGCTGATGGTTTAAAGTGGATTGTGAAAGAAGTAATTTTTTTTGGATGGTGTTGCTATGTTTGGCCTGAGCAAGCTTTGGGACCTGAAAGTTTTTTTTTGCCGTTACTGATAGAATGTGGAGTGAGAGGGTTTCCGTGGTAATGAAGTGTTGGGGCTGAGTAGGACGGTTGGCTTGTGGTGATCACTTGGTATCCACATGTTTTTTTTCTGGGGTGCTGTGGGCATCTGCAGAGTGCAGGGAGGTGGGCACTGTGTGCTTCTCACCACTGGAACACTCTGGGGGGACTTGGCACTCCTTCCCTGCCCTCCTTTTTTTTTGAGACAGCCACTGCTCTGCCTGGACGTGCACCTGTGACTGGGTCTTTTTTTTTTGTGCAGGGAAGGCCCATTCACAGGGAGGTTTTGCTCTGGGTGTTGGGTGTCTGTCAGGGGTCTGGACGGGCAGGGGCCTGAGTTAGAGTGCCTCTAGTGCACGGAGTCTCCAGGACAGGGCTGCAGCTTCTCTCAAGCCCTGGCAGTCTGGTTGGACTTTTTTTTCCAGGACTAGCCAGAAATATATTTCTTCTTTCTTCTTCTTCTTCTTCTTTTTTTTTTTTTTT